TTTTTTTTTTGTGTATATTTTAGTGAAAGTATTAAATAATTTATTAATTCATGTATTCATTAACAATTACATGAAAACATTAAAAAATCATTGTTATTAACAAATATGATATTATGCTTAAATTACTTTTCTATATTTTTTTTTTTTTTTCTTTTAGTCTGTTTTATTATCAATAATAAAATTTATAAAAAAGGAAAAAAGAATTTTATTATATATTTTTTATTTTTTACATGTGACCAAGAAGATTTAAACTAATATAAATTATATACATAAACATTTTTTTTTTTCTACGCGTATTTTACGTTGAAAATAAATGTTTATAATTATGTGCATAAATACATATTAATATAAATATATTTTTATATATTTTTTTTTATAAACAAAACATAAAAATAATTAAAAATATGTTACAGATAATTTAATAATTGTGTATTATAACTAATTTTTAATTTACCTAAAAATGTATAAAATAAAAACAGACATACGAGTAAAATTATAATAAGCTTACTTAAAAATCTGTAAAATTAACAATTTAATATCTAAGTTGCATGTTTTATAAAATTAAACAATTATTTATAAATCTCTTAGTGCATTTATAAAAAAAAAAAAAAAATAAAAAAAAAAGAAGTGTATAAAAATATCATTAATTTATTTTGTGCTACTTTTTTTTCTTTGAACAGATCTAACATCGTAAATTTTTATTACTGTTATTAAAATAGTATAATAAATTAAAGAAAAAAAAAGTTGCACTTTTATATTTTTAACATGTAATTATCGGATTATAAAAAAATGAAAATTGAATATATAAAAATAGAAATTAAGCACTTTCAAAAAAAAAAAAAAAAAAAAATAATAAAATAGAATAGAATAAAATAAAATAGTATCTAATAAAATGAAATAATATCAAATAAAATACGTGAAAAATAATATTTAAAACATTATCTGAAAATGTAGATGTTTATATATATATATAGATAAATATTTATATACATATGTATCCTTAATAAAATGAATGTATTTCACTTCGTTTTTATAAAATATTACGAAAACATAATATCTTTATATATAATAGCATACTTACAAATATTCAGAATTTTTCTCTCTTAAAAATAACAAGTTATAAAATTTATTCCATAAGCTTTCGTAAAGATGTATATATATATATATATCTATGTAAATATTAAAAAATTAAAAAAATATTAAAATATATTTTTTATTATATAATTAAAGAAGTGATCAGATTTAACAAAAATAATAAAAATAAATGAATAACTAATATAATACAAAAACAAAAAGTGTGTTTACATATATAGCACCATAAAATTAATAATTTTTTTAATAATTTTCAAAATGTAATTATCTCTTTAATTCATTTTAAAAAATTAAATGATACGTATTAATATATATATATATATATTTTATATATAAATTTAAAATTAATATCAAAAGTATAATTTTATAAATTTACATAAGTTAGGTATGTAAAATTTTCTAATAATATATATTTATATATTTTTTTCTTTTTTTTTATTTTATATATATATATATTAGATGTAAATAAGTTAATTATAATAAAATTTATAGAATTATTACAAGTTATTAACATAAACTAAATAAAAAAGCTATTGTAAAAGTTATTTAAAAATAGATGTCAAAAAAACTAATTTACATGCTTATCATTTTCTATTTATAAGTATATTTAATGATAAAACATATTACAGAATAAGTTATGTCTAAATTATACGAATATATATATATATATAATAAAATAACATAAATAAAAACATATTAGGTAATACATATAATATAGAAATAAAAATATTTCATTTTTTAATAAATATATACATAAAAATAAAAATGTTTATCTTAATTATAAATACATTCATAAAAATAAAAGCACTTAATTTCATGCATTACATAAAAATAAATAATTTCATAAATATATAAAAATAATGTATCATTTAATGAATATATTTTTATAAAAATATAAAAAAAAAAAATTTTTTATGGAATATTTAAATTTTATATGATGTACACTTTTTTATAATTTTACATTTTTTATTTATTTTATATTTATTGCAATCTATATAAATGAAATGTATCATATTCATGTATAAATATAAAAAAAACTATATACGTAATATTAGAATACATATATTTTTTATATTTATTTGGTTTTAATAAAAGCCAAACATTATAAAAATAGTATTAATGTATTTTTTTTTTTTTTTTTTTTATTTTGAAAAAACTAATTTGTTCTTAAATAAAAAATATCATAATTAATAAATGTTTTATTATTAGAAGACAAGAGAGATATTTTATCTTTTATAATGTTAGACAATTTATTATTTTTTCTTTTTTTTTTTAACAAAATGTTACAATATTAAGTTAATAAAAAAAAAATATTATACATTCTTTTATAAGACATAATTATATAAAACTTATAACTAAACTTATATACACATGTATATAAATATATATATATATATATATATATATATATATATAATAAATATAAAAAAATGACAAATAATTTTGCGAGCGCTAAATTAAGAGTATTATATATGCGTAAGTGAAACAACAAAAAATAAATAAAATAAGTATAAAAAAAAACATATAGATATATATATATATATATATTTGTATATGTTAAAATTATCATGAAATATTAAAATAATAATAATATTTAACAAAAATTCATATAAAATAAATAAAATAAAACAAAATACCTATATTATCAATGTTCATGCATGATAAATTTATAATTTCTTAAACTAAAATATATATATAAAATAACGGTGAATCTTAAATATAAAAGGAATTAAGAATTGGTACTTCTTGTTAAGCATTCAATTTTTATTTTATTTTAATTTATATTTTTTTACTTTATTATTATTTTAGTTTCTATTTTATCAATTATAATTTTTTTTTATAAATCTTTATATGTGTGTGTTCTTAACATTTCATAATAAAAAAAAAAAGTAATACGTATATAAACTCAGGTTTATTCTTATGGAAATTAAATTACACATTCATATGCTTAAAATTTTTTACTATCATTTATTTTAATTTATTTTTCAGAAATTCACAAATTTTTTATTTTATTAATTTTTTATTTTTAAAATGTATAATCTATGTATGAATGTTAAGGTGAATACTTTCAAAAAAATATATTTATATTCTGCATGATTGTTTAAAAATAAAAAAATGTGCACCTTAAATTTCAGGGGAGTTATATCTCTTTAGTGCATAAAAGCCTAAATTTATATTTTAAAAATATATTTTTTTTCCTTTTTTATTTTTTTTCTATTATCTTTTTTTTTATAATATATATATATATATATAAAACTTCCTTAAATTCTTTTGATACATAGGATAATGTGTATTACATTTTTTAAAAAAAAATTTAGTAAACTCATTGAGTTCATGAAAATAATATATGCCTTAGTTTTGTGCTACGAATTTTATGCATAAAATTTTTGTACATGCGTTCTACCTTTAAAATTACTTAAAAACTTTTATATAGAAAAAGAAAATTTTTTTAAATTAAACTATAAAATTTAAAATGTAATTTAAAGTATATACTAAAATTATGCACAGTAAATAAAATGCAAATGTGTTCGTTCATGTTTTTTTCTTAGCTTAAAAGGATGTTAAATTTTTTTTTTTTTTTTTTTTTGTATTATAAGGGAAAAAAAAATATAATTGATAGCAATCTGAAATGCAACATTTTAATTTTCATTTTTTGAATTTTCCTTTTTTAGAAATCATAAAAAAAAGAAAAAATACAAAATATAAGAAATAACAGAATTTTATTAATTTTTAATTGTAAATGAATTACAAATAAAATAAAAAAATATTTTATTTAATTGAAACATCTTAAATTTTTTTTCCATTGTTCATGTTTATTTTATGTGTAATTTTAAATTAAACGCGTTAATCTTTTTTATAAAATATAATAAGATATCAAAGAAAATTTATCGTTGACTTAAAAAAAATTGCTAAATATATTATCGTCATTTGCGATAAAAAAAAAAAAAAAAAAAAAAAAAAAAAAAAAAAAAAAAAAAATATAATAAAATAAAATATAAAATAAAATAAAATGAATACAGAAACATGAGAATTGAGGTTTTTTTTTTTTTTTTTTAATGTAATAATTTCAATTAATAAAAAAAAAAAAATGAAAAAAAATAACAAAGTAAATTCAAAAAAAAATAATGTAAATGAAGATATTACATATGAAGATGATGCTTTTACGAAAGAAAACAATTTTAATGACATTATAAATTTTGAGAAACAAAATCAAAATAGCGATCAAACTTCACTTATGAAAACACAAATGAATGAAAAATATATAAAAAAAAAATCACAAATAAAAGATAAAAATCAAAGCTTAAAAGACAATAAAATAGAAATGAAAGAAGAAAAGGAAGAAAAAGAAGAAGAAAAAAAAGAAGAAAAAGAAGAAGAAAAAGAAGAAAAGGAAGAAAAGGAAGAAAAAGAAGAAGGAAAAGAAGAAGAAAAGGAAGAAAAGGAAGAAAAGGAAGAAAAGGAAGAAAAGGAAGAAAAAGAAGAAAAGGAAGAAAAAGAAGAAAAGGAAGAAAAGGAAGAAAAGGAAGAAAAGGAAGAAAAGGAAGAAAAGGAAGAAAAGGAAGAAAAAGAAGAAGGAAAAGAAGAAAAAGAAGAAAAAGAAGAAGGAAAAGAAGAAGGAAAAGAAGAAGAAAAAGAAGAAGGAAAAGAAGAAAGAAAAGAAGAAAAAAAAGAAAAAGAAAAAGAAAAAGATGAAGAAAAAGAAAAAGAAAAAGAAAGTGTTTATATTAAAAGAATAATAAATGTTGAAATAACATCAGAAATAAGAAACTTTATAGAAATATTTATAGAAAATAAGGAAGAAATTATAAATTGGTGTATTAAACACAATTTTTTATATTCAAATAAAATTAACGAAAAAACCTCTAACATAATTTTTAATGATTCAAAAAATATAGATAAATTTTTAAAAGAGAAGAGTATAAATATTGATGTTTTAAGTGTTCTTATATATTTCTATAACTTGTATTGTACTCATAACAACAAAGAAAAAATTAATTTTCATGATATGATGTATAATTCTTGTATAATCTGTATTAATTAAAAAAAAAAAAAAAAAAAAAAAAAGAAAAAATATAATGAAAAACAAGATTTACTCTATATAAATACATATTCATAATATATATTTTTTATTTATTATAGATAGAGGTATATATGAAAATATAGACAAAAATAGTAGATCTTTTAAAAATTTACTAAAAGAAGAAAGAGAATATAAAAAAATTATGAAAAAAGAAAATAACAAGATAAATGATTTTTTCTTTAATTACAAAAAAACATTTCCGTAATATTTTCTTAGAAATAATACACCTTTTATTTTTTGTTCTGTAATTATTTATTTTTTTTTTTTTTTTTTTTTATATATCAGGTATGGTATAAATTTAATAATGGGATTATTTTTAACTTTTTTGAGTGGCTATTACGGTTGTCTTTTATTGGGATATACGAAATTTACAACAGTAATAATATATATACTATATATACTATATAAAATTTTCTTTGCTTTCATATTATTTTATATTATTTTACTTTTTTTTTTTTTTTTTATCTATTAGAGATTAATATGTGGTATATTATTTTCCTATATTACTTTAATTGTCGAAGTTATAATTTTTATAATCATAAATGAAAAAATAGAAAATCTAGATAAGAATAAGAAATGCATGGATAGCAATAATGGTTTATATGAAAAGGTTTTTCTTAATCAAGAACCTTATGATATAAAGAAAACAGAAGAAATTAAAGAAATAAATAAACATTCAACACTAAAAAAAAGGAGGAAAACATAACCATTGTTATTTTTAAAAATATGTTGATAAAATTGGAATTTTTTTAATTATAAATATCCTTTTAAACAATTATTTTTCCCGTTAGTTTACTCATGTTTTTTTTATTTATTTCCATGTTTAATTAACTTTCTTCAACATTTCATCTTTTTTTTTTTTTTTTTTTTTTTTTTTTTTTTTTTTTTTTGTCATATATTTTTGTATTTTTTTTTTGTTTTTTATATTATTTATTTTATTTTTTTTATCGTTTATTTTAAATTATACTAAAATTTTTCGTGTATATATTATTTTTAAGTTTTATGAAGATTTATTATTTCTCTTTATCAAATGTGCATATGCTTTATCTTTTTTTTTTTTTTTTAAATTAAAATAATAATAAAAAATTTATATTTATAAATTTTTTATTTTTTTAAAATCATAGTGAAGATATATATATTTTTTTAGAAAAAAATAAGCATACTTTTTCTTAATTTTATTGTATCAATGAAAGTATTTTTTTTTTTTTTTTATATTCTCAATAAAATATTATATATTATTTTACTATTTTCTATTATCCTTTTAATAATATAAATATTTTTTAAAAAAAAAAAAAAAATGGATAATTTAAATTTATTGTGTATATGTTATTTTTTTATGTATATAAAGAATATTGTATAAAAAAAAATTTTTTTATAGTGCTTTATAGATTAAAATTTTTTTTTTAAAAAAAACGATAAATAACATGAATAATTTATATTCAAAATTATCAGAAAACATGAAAAGCGATATTAAGAATGATATAATAAAAAAATTGCCTTTTAAATTTACTAATATTAATTTAATTAATTCCGAAAACGAGGAAAAAAAAAGTGAAATAGAAAATTATTATAATGAAGAACTAGACGAAAATAAATTAAATGGATATAAAACTTCAAAAACAAAATTGAAATATATAAAGAAAAAAAGTGATGATAAAAAGTTGAAAATTTTTAAGGAAGAATTAAAATTTCATTACAATGAAGAAGTAGACAATTGTGAACACAGCTTAAATTATGAAAATAGTGATAATTTTAAAAATAATTCAAAGAAGGAAAATTTAGAAAATTATTTTAAATTCAATGGAAATGCTATATCAAATATAAAAAAAAAAAAAGATAAACCAAATGAAAAAAAGAAAGAAATTGTCAATAATGAGAAACATGAACAAGAAATTACAGAAGATAATAATTATGAATACTTAAAATATTATTTAAACTCTGAAAAAATAATTGAAAATATTGCATTAAATAAAGATATACAAAAAAAAAATAAATTAAAATATAAAATAAATAATTTGTTAAACCTTGAAAATTTAAATTGTTCTTCTTCCTCTAATTTATCAAGTAAGTATGATATAAATTTTCAAAATGATAATGAAAGTAAGAAAAAAAATTATGATGATTCTTTATTTTCATCTTTTAATTTAGAAAATAATTCATTTTATAAAAAAGCATATAAAAAAGAAGAAAAAAATGAAGAAAAAGAAAAAAAAAAAAAATTTATTTTTCTAGAAAATCATGATGATTTAAGCCAATGTAATGATCTAATTTTTTCAAAAGAAGATAAAGAAGGAATAAATTTTTCATTTATTTCAAATAAACATAAAGAAGTAAACGATGATAATTCCTATAATAAAGATATAAAAAATATCAATGATTTTGATTTTCACAAAAAACTCTTGAGTTCATATAACGATAATCAAACTTCAATAGATCAAAGTAATAATTTAAGTAATTCAGAAGAAAAACAATGGAATCTATTTGATTCATTTAAAGATATTTATAAAAATCACAATAAAAAAATGAAACTTATAGATTATAACAAAATACTAAATAAAAGTTTATACAAAAACGTTTATAATGTTGACAATATAAATAATAAAAAAAAAAAAAAGAAAAAAAAGATAAATATAGAAAAAGATTTATATGATAAAAAAACATCTGAAAATGTCAAAGAAATTATTAGAAATATAAAAAAGCGTCTAGGATTTTTTTCAAAAGAAGAAAATGAAAAAGGAACAGAAAATAATAACATAATGTTTAAATTAACTAGTAGAAATATAAACAACGAAAATAACAATAAAAAAGACTCATTCAGTTTTCACAATAGTACAAATTCCCCAAATGAACAATCATCAAATATAGAAAATAACTTCTCATTTTCAAAAAATATTTTTAATGATTCGGATAATAATAAAGAAACAAATTTAAAAAAAATAAATTCTTTTTCTTTCAATCGTTCTATGAATAGTAACTTACTAAATTATCATAGTTTTGTTTCGGATGATTTTATTTTGGCTAATGATAAAAATGTTAATTTTTCTAATTCTAATTTTAATGAAAAAAAAGAAGATACATTTTCAGATAAATATAAAATTAATAGTGATGATGATGATTTATTTTCGCTTTCTACATCATCAACAAAGTTTAAAAGAATGTTTCATCAAGCGTTAATAACAGAAAACGAAGAAAGAGACAATAAAATTAAAGAAAATGAAGAAAAATATGGAAAAGAAATAGAAGAAAAGGAAAAGGAAGAAAAAGAAAAAGAAGAAAAAGAAAAAGAAAAAGAAGAAATAGAAGAAAAAAAAAAAGAAAAAGAAGAAATAGAAATAGAAGAAAAAGAAGAAAAAGAAATAGAAGAAAAAGAAGAAAAAGAAATAGAAGAAAAAGAAATAGAAGAAAAAGAAATAGAAGAAAAAGAAATAGAAGAAAAAGAAGAAAAAGAAATAGAAGAAAAAGAAATAGAAGAAAAAGAAGAAAAAGAAATAGAAGAAAAAGAAGAAAAAGAAATAGAAGAAAAAGAAGACGAAAAAAATGAAAAAGATGAGGAAAAAGAAAAAGACGAAAAAGAAGAAAAAGAAAAAAATAAAGATAAAAATAAATATGAAAATGATGAAAATAAAAGTAGAATGATTCATATAATTGAAGAAGTAAATGAACAAATTTATTCTAATGATTATAACGACAAAAATCAAAATAAAATGGCTACTTCTAATATTATATACAACAATGAAAAAGCAAATATAGAAAGAAATATTATGCATAAAAATGAAATTTTTAAAATAGAAGATATAAAAGAAAAATTAGAAGATTGCACTTCTTTATTAGAGGAAGACAAAAAAAAAAAAATAAATTCAGTAGAAATTAAAGATAAAAAAAAAAATGTAATATGTGTATGTGATACTTTAGAAAAATATAAAATGAAAAATTTAATTAGTAAAACAAAAAGTAAGAAAGATACCAGCACTTCTGATTATTCAGAGTATGATGAATATTTGTCAGACTTAAATGAATTTATTTGTAATAATAATATACAAATAGATAATAATTCAATTTTATGTGATGAAAATATAAATGTAGAAAACTTTTCTCATAAAATAGATAATTTTATGCAGTATATATTTGAAAATCAAATAAAGCATCTAAATAATTTAATAACTAATATTTTTTCATGAATTTTATTGGATTATTTTATATTTTTTTATTTGTATTAAAGTTTTTTTTTTTTTAAGTATTATATTTTTTTTTTTTTAAATATCGTAAATCATATATTTCTTTTTTTTTTTTTTTTTTTTTTTTTTTTTCTTTTTTTTTTAAATTTT